CACATGCTTGTTGCCTGTATAGGGTATGTATAATTATACTCCAAGTGTATTTCTTCTTTTGTTTTTCTATAGGAAAACGGCAAGCAGCTTGTTCGGTAGACTGGATTTGCTCGTATACGATCGTAAATTTCCAGCCGGGACAGTATTTTTCTCTCACACCAAAACAGCCAAACCAGCCAGCGGTAAATAATCCACGATCGTTTATGGCCTGCCGAACAGGCTGAAGGTGACATGAGTGTGACCTTGCTCGTCCATTAAACAGCACGGCAGGCATAGAGCACACAGCAATAATCAGTATTTTTCAGAAATCTAACTGGTTGCAAGAACAAAGAAAAATATTCTGCCACTCAACACCAAGAATCACAAGAAGTTTTCTAGTTTTGAGACATAGCAAAAAAAATGATCTTAGAACTGACAGGGGAATAACAATTCATATCTCGTCAGAACAGTTCTTTTTGTCAGAACAGATCTTCACAGGGAACAGAATAACAAGATTGATGACTATAGAACTCGCTGGGGAGGAAGCCGTAGTCAGATCGACCATCTGCTCATGCGCCGCCGCTGCCTCATGGTCGCTGCAGATTTGGGGAGGGAAGAAGCTGCTGTTGCGAATCGACAGGGCAATGGAGAAGAACTCGCGCGCGCGGAGCAAGAGGAACTCACGCCAAGTTTGGCCGCAGGTAGATCCCCACGCGCGCCGCTGGGAGACGACGTCCTGTACAACGGCACTTCTGCTGTCGCGTTAGCCTCGGAGCACGCGCTTCCCTCTCTCGCTTCATTCAATGCCACCGGAGGGGGTGTTTTTTGCAAATATACATCTCTACATACGGCACTCCGGCATCCGTTGTACGTGCCCTTAGGTGTCGCCCTGCAACGGTCGCGCCCGTCTTTCATATATCCATCCACTTGTGCCCTGTGCCCGCACCGTTCGCGTACACACTACGCACCTGCTGGTGGCCGGCTGCGGCCGGACAAATCGCGTGGCCGCGGTCTCGATCCCCGGATGATGACGACTCTACCGCGCGCGTGCAGGCGCGTCGCCGCCGGCCCGGGCCACTTCCCTGACGACGCGGCTGTGGTATTGATTTCTTCCGGCCGGTTCGCCGCCCGCGCGGCCTCGCTACATGTAATTTGCAGGTGAGTGAGGTCCATCGATCCTCCCCCAACCGTGTCGGTCCTTCTCCCACGATCCATTGTTTATCCACAAGAAGGGTTGGACAAAATACTCGTGGCTCACCAACTCGCTCGACTCGTGGCCGGCTCAGCTTGGCTCGACTCGGCTCGTTTTAACTTTTTTCACGAGTTGAGCTGGAAGTCTAACTCGCTATTTTAACGAGCCAGCTCGCGAGTAGCTCACGAGCTGAGGCCTATCAGCCCACGACCATGAATTCAGAAGATGATGATGCTGACCTAAAAGTATACACATATTCTATTGGTATGTAATCCTTATTTTCAGTTATTTGATATGAATTTTAATTTTATAATTGTTGTGGTACTTAAATGTTTATTTTATGTATTGTTTTCTAGGGAAAAGATGATGATATTAACATTGAATCTGTGGACTTTCCTTAGTTTGTGGTGGCAAGCAACTAGTTAGTATGCTAGAACTGCATGATTATTGATGGACCAGCTATGTTGCATGGATGATAATTTTGATGAACCTGATATATATTAATTATGTATGATTGCATAATAGTGAACGTCACCTTCTAGAATTAATGTAGCATAAGCATTATAAATATGTGTACAATATTTTTTTTGTAGTAGCTCGTGAGCTAAACGAGCCAGCTCGAGTTCGGTAACGAGCCGAGCCGAGCTGCCCTTCTACCTCATAATATCTAGCCCTATCCACAAGAAAATGCATCCGTTTTGTATCCGGTGTTTTCAGTTATGATCGTGTAAATTGTCACAAAACCAGGATATGTCCAGGCATGCATAGAACATTACCAACGGATATCCAAAAACAACAGCGAAGTGGCATGGTAGACAGACATCAACACACAAATCTCATACCACGTCAAGGCATCACAATTCACAAACCTAGGAACAATTCCAGTTATATGATGACAGCATACGTAAACACCGAGAACTACTCACTCCATTCCGAATTATGTCATAAGCATATCAAGTTTGACCAAAATTATAGAAAAATTTACTAAAATTTATGACATCAAATAGGTATAGTACGAAAATATAATCTAATTAATAAAGAATCTAATGATATTTATTTAGTATTATATTATAAATGGTATCATTTTATATTATATACAAATTTAGTTAAATTTGAGATACTTTGACTTTTCAAAAAAGTTAAAATAACTTATATTCTAGCATAGAGTATTATTTAACTAGCACCTCTGCAATTCCATCGTTTTGCTCGATGGAACTACGTAGCCCAGTTTTTTAATCTGAGAACGCGTATTGTATAGTAACTCAAATGCAGTAACTCGCTACTGTATATACTGTCAAGCACGAAATGCAAGGTGATCAGTTGTTGCAGGCTTGCAGCACCAAACTTTGGCCATTACAAGGTAGGCTGCATATCACAACACACAAGGGGAGCATCAAACTACACTCGCCTCCAGGGGCACAGCAGGTTGGCAGGCCCAAGCTAACACAAGGCAACAATGCACAGTCTCGCAACCCACAAGACCACAATCAGTACAAGCATCGATCGATCAGTACATTCACTCATCATCTGGACAGATCCGTGCTCACGCCGTTCCTTGCTCCTGACTTGTAGCGCCCTCGCTTTTCAGGTCGCTTGTACTCGCTCCACTGTTTTGTTTCGCCAGCATCTGCATCTGATCACCATACCAAAGTAGGAATTAGCATAGCACTGGATTGCATTTGCCAGTATTAAATAGTAATTTAGCTGACTGATCATTTCAGACTGCAGGCTACAGAGAGACTTGATTACAACACAAGGCTCACGGATAGCCCGTTGTTAGAGCTAATCCAGTAAAGCAGCATATATAATCCAAATGTTGTCTCATTCATAGCAGAAGTATCACTGAAAGCTAGGTAAGATATATATGCTCTTTCGCTGGTTCCTAACTTTTTTTTAGAAAAACAGGAGGGGCAAGCCCCTACTGAAGATCAATTAAGTAAAGAAAACAGAGTACAGCTTATCTAACAGTGCTTGCCCATTCCAGTGCTACTTCCAGGCAAAGCAGCATTTACACGAAGTGCAAAGATAGAAGCTAGCAACATCCAAAGAAAACAACAAAAGCTAGCAGCATCCAAAGAAATTTGGTATTCTGCACTCCCTTATTATTGGGCTGTCATTAACCAAACTGAAGGTACGCCAAAGCTGTGAGATGCTGAACTAGCTACCCAAAGGCACCACAGTTTGGACTAATCTCAACTTGAATAAGGCACAAAGATAGAAGTAGAAAACAGTTTTGGTTAGTTTTATGAAAACTAATCAAGGGTCCTGTTTGTGGCCTTGTGGGCTTATTGTTCAGATTTCAAGAAAAAAATGTCGTACCTTCCTGGATCTCGTATCCTTCAAAGCATTTCTCAGAAGATTTTCCATCTTCTCCAGCTCATTGACATCTGATTCGTCAGCATTGCTCTGGGGAGACCTGCTGGTTTGAAGCAATTATAATCATTTATCAAAAGTGGCAAAGAAAAAAGTGGGTGGAAATCCTGAATTCTGGGTGTACCAGGCTGCAATCTCGCTCAGCATCAACTGCAAATCTGAAGAAGCTTCATCCTTGTTCTGTACCAGAAACACCCTAGTAAGCTACAATTATCAAAAGTTTGATATTATATATTTGTTCTGGTATTTTGCATACTGTACAAACAGGACATTCTGCATAGTGCCAACAGAACATTTTGTTTGATGCTGGCAACTGGAAAGTGTCACAGTATGTAAAGACTGATTCTTTCTAAAAATATGATCAAAAGCTGGGCAACTGTAGGCTGCATGTTATGTATTGGAAAAACCACATCAAGATCTTTACATTGTTTTTATTTTGATCGTCATTCATATTCCTTCCTTCTCCAGAAAATTGCTGATAGCGGTTATATGTATCCTCTATGCTGAAAAGGAGAAAAGTTGAGTATGATATTAGCTCATTGCATAATGTACTCTTGGAAAATCAGTTTATGTATATTTACCTCATGTGGAACAAAACTGCACCCAGTTTTATTGGAGGTAAGAGTATATTATTATGAATTACATCCTGAATCTTACAGTCGAAAACAATTTATTATTATGATGTCTCATTTCCTTATGGTTTTGAATTTGACTTGATAGGCCAAGAAAGTTGAGTTCATACCCTGGTCCATCACATTCCATACTACTATTCTACTCTATTTAGTTCTCATAAAGGTTTTGCACCACTGTTTCTCTAGATGTTTTAAGAGTTCTCAATGCTATATTCTTGATCATATAAAAACATCAGAACTGAGCCATGATACAACCTACTTGTCACATCTAACTTTGCACGGTTTTTGATGCATACATTGGACCACCAATATCATCTAGAATATATTTTCAAGATTTCATAACTATCTTAGAATACAACTATGACACTTTATCATCTATCCAAACTAATAGATTCAAAAGTTATTTGATGTTTGTACTTTTAAGGTTTGACCAAAGTTTGTCCTAAAATGACATGATGTGACCAAAGTCTAGAGGGAATATAGATACTATTCAAAGTTTGATGAATCGAATAGGAGCTACTAGACATATATGCAAGTCCATAATCACGGCAATCCTTGTATCAAGCAATTACACAAGTAAATGTAAAGAACTAAGACAATTTCTGTTTATGAACTTCTTATTTATATTCTTTTGCCTTTTACTCCCTTGAATCACAACATGGAGAAATCTCTTATGTGATTTTATTACCATAATTTCAAAGATAAAGGGTGTGTATTTACATGTAGATCATTGATTTTTTTGCATATTTATATGAAGCTCTAGGATCAAACCAAAAAGGCAATAAAAATAGATATTCTATGGGACAAGGATTCTAAAGGAAAAAACATGGACCTCCAATGGGCGATAAAGATGAGTAGAGCATGGTATTGATGGGCTTCAAATCTATTCATTTGAAGAAGAAATGATTGCAATGCAAGATGATCTATAGCTTTGAGAGTCCTCGATATGGTGTCATCTAGATATCAAAGTTAGCCGTCCGAAAAATAGACTTTTCTCTACCATACATACCCTATCATATTTATTAATGTAAGGCGATGTTCCTTGTATCTGACTCTAGAGTTTGGACCACTACATACCAAGAAAAACATCTAAACTGACTCTAGAGTTTGGACCACTACATACCAAGACAACCATCTAAGCCGTCTAGGTTCTGAAGTTATGATTAGGTATTAGGTATTAGGTACTAGAGGAGTCAAAGGCTCAAAGTGACTAGACCTATATGCCACATGTGGAAAATCCAAGAGGTTTTAGGTTGGGTAGGGTGGGTTGTGAGGAGGAAGTTGTTAACTAAATGTTTGGTTAGGCTTTTGCACTCTTTATACATATTGGGATTGGGAGTTAATTGCCCCATGGTTCGAGTAGTTTGATTTAGCTTGGTAAATTTTCTTCCACACACTTCCAACTCCCAACAAAAAGTTCCATCTTCAAATGTTGTGAAATCTACGAGAACATGGGATGCGCAAGCCTTTTGTTTACATGACATGTTTTATATTGGGGTGCTAGAGTCCAATTGATGCACATGGCTCTACCCACTTGGTTTTCTTCCATTGCTATGCATGTAAGTGAAGTTGATAACCAACTTTTCTTGTCTTCTCTCCTTTCCTTTCCTTTCCTTGAAAGCTAAATATAAAATTCTTCTTAGGTGTTGCCCCTTAATCCTAGACAGTTGAGAATGATAGCTATGAAAGGACACAAAACATATGGAATAAGTTGAGTACATGTTCATAACTTGAGAGTCACCCAGTGATGGGTTTTTAGGACAACAAAAGAGCCCTTCTAGATATGCTCAAGGAGAAAATGTCAAGAAATATAAGAGTAATGACTCTAGTGAGCTTTTATACATCATGTCCATACATTGTATATATATAGAAGAGGTAGCTTTCTTGAGTATAATTTGCAAGTGGTCAACATATCTGAGTGCATCAGCAAAGACAACTATATTCAAACTATAGAAAACTAAGGTTGACTAGACACAAACCAGTTTTGAGCGAAAAGAGTGGAAAAGGTGGAAGAAGAGTGTCAAAAATAGTGATTAGGTGAGATCATGTGAAATCACTTGATGTGTTGATTTGACTCTGCTTGCTAGCCGAGGTCATGTGAAATCACTTATAGTGTTGGTTTTGACTTTGCTTGCTTCAATATACGACGTGAGAACAACCATACTCAAGTTAGCATTCTCATTCGCATATTTATCAAGCACAATTTAAGGAAAAAATAGGTTCCAAGCATAATAGCAATGCACATAGAAGGAATGGAAAATCAGTTTATCGTTATATATGTTGTTACAACTTAACATGCATGGCTAGTGTGGGCATACTAATATTATTCTTGTTTCATAGGGCATTCTACTATTGTCAATTAGCATATCTTCCTTCAACATTCCATTATTGCTAATGAAGATTGTATTCAAAGTCAAATAGCCCTATGATACTACCATAGCATACCAATCCTATTGTCGTTTAGGATGATGTGAATGATCTTAAAAGAAGATACGATGGTGTTACCAAATCGAAAAACAACCTATTATTCAATAAGGAGAAACTTCTTTGCTACTATTAAATAATGTTGCTAAGTATTGAAGACAATGAATTATCTAAACCATTTTTTTCAAAAAAAATCTAAAGATTGGAAACGACGTCTAAACACTTTTTCAAATGTTTATTGTCTTTTGTCATTAAGAAGCATAAATGTATGCGAAAGTGACATGATTTTGTGAATTTACTATGACATTTTTTGTGGTATATTATATCATCAGTTTTGATGGTATAAAAATAGAACTGTTTAAACCATAATGTTTTGTACAATAGAAACTTGTAATACATTGTGACAAAGAATGTGAGCTTATGCTTTTTATCTTCAACCGAGGTAATATAGCAATATGTATGAGAATGTTTGCTCAACGTAACTAACATAGTATTATCTCTTTTGAATATAACAATTATATAATTATACAAATACTCAACTATTTGTCAATTTTGCCATGGTGGTTCTTATTTTTATTTGTCTTATTAGTATGGCATATTTTTTTCTATTGTTATATGTTCATGTCATTTTTTCCTATATTGGTTACACTATTGTAGGTTTTCTCTTTCCTATGCTAAAGTCTCAACAAATATTTTAGGTATTTTGTATTTAGTTGTGAGAATTAACTTTAGTCACCAAAAGATGTCGCTACCCATTTTATAAGTGTGTGTATAGTAACTAAATATAATACTATTCTTTTATGTCAAAATATAAAATTATATTTGTATGTAGTTCTCTCAAATATAAACTATAAATAAGGGTAAACAAGTTCAAAAACAATAGGTTTAAAATACAACATTTCAAATAAGCAAGAAAATGCATGTCTATATTTACTCATAACAACTACACAGCTTCGGTATCATCAGCATCATCGCCATCACATCTTGTAGTTTTCTTCTATAATCCTTTCGCTGCACCAAATTCTTGTGTTTGAATGAATAAGTGAAGCGCTGCGCCTTTGCCTAGTTTCATGTAGGTCATAGAATGTGGAGGTCATAGAGCACGGTGGGACGCTGTGCAAGTAGAATGTCTATGGTTGTTTTTCAACCCAATATAACAGACAAAAAATACATATAAATCACAATTAAATTAGACATACAATCAGATATATCATAAATTTATATAATTGTGAATCATAAATATATAATAATTAACAATGTTTTGTGACAAGGTAGTAAATAATAGGTGAGGGTTAGTAGCAAATTGTTGTCAAGTGTATGGTAGCACGTAACCGGCAATATAGCATGAGCTAAGTTTAGTGATATTTAAAACCATAAAGCTACACAAAACATACGTATCTCCCACCATAACAAATAGCCTACCCAATTAAAATTTAAACCTTAAAGTATAACTTTCAAATTAAAAAAAGAGTTAGATGAACAAAAATTTAAAAATAGTCACTATAGCGACTTGTCAAGTTCTAATATGCTAATTTTTTAATGCTACCTTTGTAGCTATGGAATTTAGACCCACTACAATTATTGCGAGCACTACTATGGCCTGTAGAATAAAAATGCTATATAGTTTCCTGGTTTGAGATCATATACAATAACATAAAACATAACATAAATCCTTTTGATTATAGCATACCGAATAGGAGAGATAAGAATAGCATTCAAGGACTCTTTCTAACCCTGTCTAGTGACAAATCTGGCGGCCCGGTAGCAAGATCCGACGACGTGGTGACCGAATCCAGCGTTCCTATGGACAGATCTTTGCAAGCTCGGTGCTGGTTGGGCTGCCTTCGTTGGACAATGACGCATGGCTCTAGTAGTTGTTATACGAGGCAGGCAGCGAGGAAGGGGGCAAGCCATCAACCCAGTCCACGACATGGTGGCTGGCACCTTTTTGAGGCCGCCTTCATCACCGTGCTACGGGGTGGCGCCATCGGCCCACTGCTAGAGCTCGGCACCAGGGAGGCGACCTCTGTGGTCCTCCACTGGTAAGCATGACATCGGCTAGTCCACCTTCTCTATGGTGAAGCAGCGGAAGGTTGGCTGGAGGAGGGGTGGTTAGGTCTGGTCACCACTCGACGACTTTAGGCTGGTTCTTGGGGGCGGTGTGGCTGCTAGCTCACTAGCGTTGGCGCGGCCCGTGTGGGGGTAGCATGGGTGGTTGCGCATGCGTGGGTGGGTGTTGTGGTGCAGCGGACATGACAGCCTCTTCGACAAGTGAACAACATGGCTATTGATCTCTTGTTTAGAGATCTACAAGGACTTGGCGATGACTTGGTTGGCTACGGTCCTTGTGGACTAGCGTCGGATGGTTGCACGTCTGTGACTTGTTTTTGCAGAACCAGTTGAAGGCAGATCTTCATGGCTGGCTGCCTTGGATTTTCAATAGTGGTGGTTGCAAGCTCTTTGTTTGGTTTGGTGCGGCGGTAGTGGTGGAGGCGGCTGCTGCCTTGTGTAGCAGATTGGTGTCGCCATGCATGGTAAACTATTTGGTCTGGTAGTAGAGGCTGGTGGAAACTAGTGTCATATTGTAAGGTCACGCACGCCTGTGGCTTAGTCGTTGTAGTAACATCTTCCCACTAACGGTGGCATGCTACGTACATTATTTCATTGGCTAGACTTGCATGGTGAGGGCTTGTTTGGTGCGCAATGGCAGGGCCACATGATTTGGGGGTTGGGCTGGGCAGTGTTTCCGGGTGAATGTCTTGCTTGGATTCTCTATCGATCCAGCAATGGTGATGTTTTTTGCGTCATGTTCCTCATTGAAGCATTGTCATGAAGTCCTACACCTGAGTTTTTCTTGGTTGAAAAACATAATCCCGGTCTTTCAGCTGACGATGCCATGTAACCCTCCATTAACCGTGGAGACATAATATGCTTACCCTTTTTCAAGTTTGGTGGTTAGATAGACAATAGACATTAATAGTAAGTACAGATGTAAAATTAAGGGTCTGTTTGGATCATAGCTAGATCATTATAATCTAGATTATGTATAGGATTATTATAGTCACGGTTATGGATTATAATAATCAGAGTTTTGGGGACTGTGGATTATGATGATTGATTGTGGTCGGTAAATGCGAGAAATTCCTATCTTATCTTTTATAGTTTGACAAGTTGGACAATTGGTTGGAGATAAGTTGGATTTTCAACACCTATAATCCCCTATAACCTGAATTATGGGATTATGGCAATCAAGAATTTTGATTATAATAATCTACTATATAATCAATCTTATTTGGATCAAAATTTGATTATATAATCTGATTATTACTAATTGCTGGGGTACCCAAACAAGACCTAATGGCTTGATGAGTTAATACACTAAAATCTTTTGCGACACTTTAATACCCAATATCTTATATTTTAGGACAAATGGAGTACATTTATTTATATTTTGTACAAGAAATTACCTGTCAAAATATACCTTGAAGGTGGGAGTATGTTTATTTATGTATCGTACTAGAAATTGATTGTGCAAATATATACCTGAAAGAACTTTCTCCATTCCTAATACATCTTTTTAAAAGATGAAAAAAATACATTTTGTATGATACAATATTATGTAGTACTATAATTAGCCTTATGGTGCTCTAAAGAAAGAAATGAAAGTTCTATTGTTGCATAATAGAACTTTCCAATAGAGGCAAATTTGTCATGCAACTTGTGTAAGAGGGCAACTATTATTCATGTCCCTACTAATAACTTTAATATTTTATTAGCAAACATACCCATGCGATGTAATAGGTTTTGTACAACTTGTTGCGCCGTCAAGGATCAGGTATGCCAATGATAAGAACATCTACAGCAGAAGCCCTCAAATTAGGGCCTCTACTTTGATTCGAGAGGTCCCTTTATTTTTAGAGACATGTTTTTACATCTACTTCAACAGAAGCTCTCAAGTCACGATCTTTAAATCCATTTCAGTAGACATTGCTATATGGGACCCACTCATCATCCACCATAGTTCTAACCGATTGAACTGTAGAGGACCCAAGAGAGCCAGAAACGGGAGGAGCACGCCACGGTGAGGGGAAGGCGGGTGGAATGGCTCACTGTTGACATGAGTCGGGTCAGGTGGAAGGCCCGAAAGGGGCTTGCAAGGGAGAGAAGTCAGGGCCAGGAGGAGGCTCGCTAGGGGAGAGGATTCGAGATGGGAAGGGGCTCGCCGAGAGAAAAGTCAAGGGGCGGGCCTCGCTAAGGGAGCCACGCAGGGAGTCGCGCCCGAGGTAGGATGTTTCCGGTGAGAGAGGTTGCCATGGAGGGAGCCAACCGTTGGAGATTTGTGCCACTAGGGGAAGGGAGACACGCCTACCCGCACTGCAAAGGGAGGCCTTATCGGTGGAGCTGCGTTGGAGGAGGCCTCGTCGGGCACGACAAAGGAGGCGGATGGGCAGGCGCTATTCTGCTAGCACACGGGAAGGGAAACGACCGAAACCGTCATTTGAGGGCCAGAAGCAGGATACCTAGGAATGAAGGCCGATGGGAAATTTGAGGGGCCTCTCATTTGTAGAACCTAGTAAGGGCTCTGTTGGAGCGGCTCTAGCCCTCGAATTTGATGTTAAGGACATAAGTAGGGGCCCTGCTCTAACGAGTTATCTATATTTGTTGGATAAGGCTGGTCCAGACTCATTCAACTAAATCAAATAGATTCCAAAGCCTGTAGATATAGAATTTGATTTTAATACATATTGGGTTACGCCCTCTGTATCTCGTATATGATTCGGACTCATGATCCGCGCTCATACAAGTTAGAACAACTCGTAACTACCGATGATATGGAGTCTGATTCCAATATGTATTAGGTTTCCGTTGCAACGCACAGACACTGTGCTAGTACTAATATCTTAAATAAAATGCTTTCAATAGAAAAGATATACTTTACTTAAAATATTGGAAGTAGTATATATGACACAATTTGCTTTGAACAGTAGTACTATGATGCCTTAAATAAAGAAAAGTACTATTCACTGATTTGTTGTGTGAGAAAAACACTATCTATATAAGGCAGACTGATAAGTTCAATCGAACAGGGCTTGGATGGATTGGATTAGCATCTGGGAGTAGGAAGGGCACTCAGGGTAAAGGCAAGACAAATCTTGATCCCCATCCAACTTTCCGTACTTTCCATTTAAGGAATTTGCATAGTGACGGCGGCGGAACTGAAATTCCTCTCTCTCCGAACATCAGCAATCAGTAATAAATAAATAAGTAGTAAGTCGGATGTCAACGGCTCACGGGCGCGCGCGCCCTCTCTGGAAGTCTCAAGCGAAGCGAGCCCAGTTCCATCCGCACCGCACGCAAAGCACGTGCGCATGGCGAGAGGAGACAGGGGCGCGCTTCTGTTGGCCTAAGGCAGAGCAGAGCACAGCACACCCGGCCGGAGCCCGGAGGCCGGAGCTGTAGCAGGTCTAAGGCAAGATCCGGAACAGGTGGACGAACGCAGAGGGACAGGGGTCATGCTCACATGATGCAAGGTGGTGCCACTCCGGGGACAGTCTGGATGGCGAGGCGGCGGCTCGCCGCGGGACAACGGGATCGAGGCCGACGAACTGCTCCAGTCGATCCATAGTCCCGGCCGCCCTTGCTTATAGTAGCTTTACTAATCGGATGAGCGAGCAACAATAAGGGGAGCGAGGGGGAATTGAAATTAATCACCTGGCGGAGGCGTACTCGTAGAGCTTGCCGGCGGGGGAGAAGACGAGGAGCGCGACCTCGGCGTCGCAGAGGAGGGAGAGCTCGAAGGCCTTCTTGAAGAGCCCCGAGCGGCGCTTGGAGAAGCGCACCTGCCGGCTCACCCGGTCCTCGATCCGCCGCATCTCCACGCGGCCGCGACGACGCGCCATCGCCTTCCCGCCCGCTCCAACCCGAGCCGCCAGTGTAGCCGGCTGCCGACCTCCCTTCTCTTCACGCGCGCTAGGAGGAGCTGGGGAACGAAGGTAGGAGCGGGGGAGCGAGCGGTTGCTGGAGGCTGCTGCGCCTGCAGCCTGCGCTGCGCGAGGGAGTTGGGGACGGGGAGGTCGGGATGGGGCCCGGCGGTCGGTGACGGCGGGCGGACGGGGGGTCATTCACCAATCACCAAGGGGGATGTACTACTCGTATGTTTGTGGCACGCGCACGCCCGGTCTCGTGGTAAATTTCCAGATTCGGAAAACGCGGCGCGGAGGCGGCTGGCTGGCTGAGGCGCTGAGGTGGACGGGGCCGGGGCAGGTGTGCGACATGCCCCCGCGGCCCCACCCGCGCGTGGTTCCCGCGGCTGTCCACACGGCAGTTGCGCGAGAACCACGCAGCAGGCGTCTGTCTCCACGACCCACTCGCGCCCACGGCTACGACGGGCAGCAGGCCGCCGGAGTCGTCGTCGTCGTCGCCGTCCACGTCCGCATGGCCAGCGCAAATATCTCGCGCGCCATGGCGGTGCAAAGCCGCGCGGATAAGGACGCGGTCGACCATCTCTAAAGGAAAGGACGTCCGCGATCGAGATCCTTGACGCTTGAGGCCGGTAAGTTGCTGATAGAATCTATTACCTAATAACGAATAGGCAAAAAAATTTACCATCTTTTTTTTTTGTTCATCCAATTTTTTCGTCCACCTTCCCTAGCAACGGATAGTCGAGAGTTTATTTCGTCTAGACTTATATGACCTGATAGTTATGACAAATAGATCTCTTTAAGCCTGAATAAGAATAGGAATAAGATTCATAATTCAAATTCAAATATATACCTATTAATAAAAAATGTAACATTTCAGCTTTTCCCTAACTACTTTTGCTAACTCATCTCATCGATTCGGTTTCCACCAGCATGGAGTTTGCCGCAGGTGTCCAATCGTGCATGACTTGGAGTTTCAATCCCAACAGAAAAAACACTATCGAATTGAATCTTAAAAGAGACGACAACGAAGTACAAGAGAAGTTGGTGCCATCGCTCGTGCTCGATCCAAACACCCAATAAGAAAAGGATCATGTGCAGCACATAAAAAGAAGAGGAATCGAGCAATTGTAAACCTAAGATTGAAATTCCCAAAAATATTTCTCAATCCGAAGCCTAACACAAATCAGTACAACGATGCATGTAAATATGCAAACCAGCCTTCTCGATTCCATGCCCGCGCATGTAGATCCGGCCCTCCCCGACCGAATCGGCGCTGCTTGCCTCGTCGACCTTAGAGTCGGTGCTGCCTGCCTTGATGACTTGGCCGAGGCTCTCACCACCGTAGCTCCCTGCTCGCTCTGGCACTCGCGCCGCCGCCGGCCATCGCGCGCCAGTGTGCGGTGAGAGCATCTCCAGCAATACTACCTAAAACAGGTTATCTATTTTTTTTACTTGGGTAGCCACCTCTTTTCATACTACCTATATTTTGCTCTCAACTCCAACAGTAGTACCTAAAACGGGCTATCAAAAGTAATCTTAGTAGAGAATGACACGTGGGTCCTATATGTCATCCTCACTCATGTTCTCGCCGTAGATGCAGCCGGAGGTGGCCGGAGGAGCGCTGGGGGCAGGCCGGTGGGGAGCACTACGGCTCGGCCATGCCGGAGGTGCGCTGGGCGCAGGTCAGGGGCAGGCTGGTGGCCAGAGGTGGTCTTCTCGCGGACGGCTCAGGCGCCGGTGGGGAGCAGGGGCATAGAGGAGGAAGACCGGAGCGTCCCTCCAGCTCGCCGCGCCGGGAGGATCTGCTCGCGCTCGCCATGGTTGCCCGCCGCGCCGGGAGTCCGAGAGGCACGCCGCGCCCTTGCCGTGGTTGCCCGCCACGCCGAGGAGATCTGCCTGGCCGTGCCCTTGCCGAGAGAGAGCGGGGCACCGGCGTCGGGGAGGAAGGCCTGCATCCGACCACCAGGCACAGGTGCCGGGGAGGGAGCAGCGGCGGGGAAGGAGCTGCGTGCCGTCGCGGGAGGGCGAGCGCGTGCGTGAAAAAAATAGGTAGCCAGGTTGTTGGCCCAACAGAAGTGGGTAGTGGAGGGGAGAATTCGTTGGGCCAACAAAAGTAGGTAGTCAAGTAGGTAGTCTGCTGGAGTGAGTTTTTTGGCCTCCACCACCCAAATATAGGATAGGTAGTGGGTTTAGGTAGCCTGCTAGAGATGCTCTGATAAGGTTAAGAGAGAAAAAACAATAATAAAGAGAAAATAAAAAAAAGACAAGACAAGAAAATAAAATAAAAAAGGGAAATATCGTACTTTTAACCACTCGAAGAAAATGTTTTACCAAATGTTTTTGTTAACCCGTAAAGATCATGCCAGAGAAAGCTGATTTATCTACAGCTTGAGTTGTTTTGGCTAAAGCTCTATCAAACGCGCAAGTGGAGAAAGGAACATTGCTGCGCTTTTTCTAATAATATAAGGTGTTGCTGTTTTGTTTATTTTCACATGAGCTTCAAACAATAACGATCCTTTATCGGTACAATGCTCAAGATAGATATTGCTGGTGCCCTAGATTACTGCTAGCATTTAAAATAAATTGTGAAAATCTACTTTCCAATGTGGGTTTCATTGTAGTTTCTCATTTTTAAAAAAATACATCTTTTACACTTTAAATTAAAATTAAATAAATGGACGTGGCGACAAGCGGATGACCGCACGCATCAAGAGATGGAGCGCAATAAATTATCAAGCGATACAAGCTGTATGCCCCGTTACAACCCCGTTGCAACGTAACGTACGATCATATTTTGCTAGTAGATAATAAAATACTACTACTGTATATGCTACAGGGGATCAGTCCAGCTGTCTCTGTTTGCCCATAGACACAGGTGCAAGTTCTGAACCTTGGCCGGATCCAACTTAGCATTTCTTGCGTCAGCGTGTGGGAACCTCAGCCATTCATTCGTTCCTAGTACAGTATAAGTACCAGTGATTAAAAAAAAGAGTTTACTGGTGTGTTTGTTTCGATTAAACTTGGATTCTAGATTAGAAAAAAAAACTGTTGATTTATTGTTAAATAAGAAAAACAAGAAAACAGAGGTTCTGTTGAATTTCAAGTATTCAGTTTTACCAATAAGACACGGAGACTTGATTCACATTTAAAATTACATAAAAAAAAAATTCATCGAAAAGAGGTCTACGAAAACTTTTAGAAAAACATCCATGTTTGCTGGCTTATTTTGTAAAGAAAAAAAGTACGTTATAAAAAATTAATCAGTCAGTAAACGAAAATCCTACCCAAACGTCTAGATTCTTTCTTGATTATTAATTTAAACCATGTCAATGAAAGATCAATGTTTCAATACTATCCTGCATTCCAAATTCTTGTCTGCCATCAAAATTTATACGTCTCCGGATCTCCTGTATGCCATTCCAAAGTATGTAAGTATAGCTTCCCTTGATTGTTACCATTAGTCTTAATCTTCCTTTCCTTACGTGCCACCGTTGTCATAGGTTAGCCACATTTGCTGTCGAGTGAGACTGGAAAAGACTTTTTTTGCCCCTATATAACAAATGAAGCAAGCCCTTGTTTAGTTGGCCAAATTTGGGAGGTGCAAAGTTTGCACAGTGCAAGATTCCTCACTGAATTATTGTCAAACATTGACTAATTAGGCTCAAAAGATTCGTCTCGCAAAGTACAATCAAATTGTGCAATTAGTTTTTGATTTCGTCTACATTTAGTACTTCATGCATGTATCGCAAATTTGATGTGACAAGAAACCTTTTTTTTGTATAGTGTACTTTTCAGGAGTTTAGGAGGAACTAAACATGACCCAAGTGCATTTTTCTGGTCTCTCATCCCATCAATGTCACTACATTCAACGACAATTGTGCATACCATTGTCCATCATTCACAGACAGAACATCTTGATTCTTGAGCGACATCTTGTCCACGGTCCAGGACCAGGAGTGCAGAGCATGCACGATCGCTTTCCCGTGGGCCGTGGGTCGTGCACCGTAGCCCCGTTCACGCAGGCATGGCACCACGACGTTGGAGACGAAGGCGTGTATCGGTCGGTGGGGAGCCGGGCCGGCCATGGCAACTGCAGCAGGCCACGTGCTTGACCCCGCACTGCATGGAAACCATTTTTTTTACAAGGACGCATGGATGAACGAACTCCCATCAATTTGTCAGGTGATAGTGGTATTAGCAACCGATTTGTTTTTTTCAATCTAGCCCTTTTTCTATTAAAAATCACATTTACTGGACGTCAAAAACCCATCTTTGGACCTTAAGCTCGGCGCCGTGGCCTACGGTGCCAAGGTAACACGTCTCGGCGTCATAGGCCATGGCGCCAAGGTTTGAGGTCAAATTGGCGTGGCTGGCGATGTGGCGCGGACATAGCTAGAGGTTAGCGCCATGAATCCATCAAGATACATGCATGCATATGTGCGTTGGGGTGCATGTAGCAACGTAGACTAGCAAAGATACTTAGAAAATTTATCTAGGTTAGGGAACCAGTGCCCACTACGGTCGTGATGATGCTTCACAGTGATGCTTTGTAGTTCGGATGATCAATGTCAACTAATTATAATAGATACGAGAGCTTCTACTAGAAAATAAGCACCAAAATGAATCCATCAAAATTCAGACAATTTCAAGCAAGGCAACGTAACATAGTGCATGATTTAAAAAAAAAATCTTAAGCAGGTTTCATAATTTTCAAGTTAAAATGAATTTTCTATGAGTTTTCAAGATTAAACAAAGTTTTAGGATTTTTAATTGCATTATCTTTCCATGCAAAAATTTATTTGAATAAATTTTTGATTTTTTAGTAATTTTTAGAATTTTTTTATAAAAATATTTGTAGTCCGATTTAGCTGAGCAAAATCATCATCAAAACCGCTAGAGTACAAAAGTGAACGGTTTTCAAAAGTTAAGGGAGTTAAGAAAAACTAGTTTTATTTGTAGATAAGAGAAGAAAATCA